TGATTGCTTCAAGTTGTCAAGTTATTCCTTGTTGCCAGAGTTAATAAAAAAGACTCAAGCTTTATTTTTTTTCTTACATTGTTATTACAAATTTGGTCTTCAAATATCAGTCTATACCAAATGACACACAACGACTCCATCAAAAAAATATATTGATGCTTCACAAGCAGATTTCAGCAACACATACCTTAGCTTGAATCCCCTAACATAGTTCAATAGGTTAATAAAAGGGATGAGCTGTGACCTTTAACTATAATTAACATATCTCAACCATACCTTGTTGCTTTTGAAAGGCCATCATAAAGAGACAATTCTTTCATAAAGTAATTTACCAGTCTCAAGCAATTTAGCATAAAGTTGAATACATTGGAAGCCCTTTTGTTCCAAACTCTCCATTAAATTTTCACTCTAAATTCAATTATCTGGGTTTTTAATATCAAATTTGATTTACCGGTATCATCCCATTTACTAATAACAAATCACCTACCATTCAGCACACCTTAACTCAGTAACTCCATTTTAACACACACCTAGCTTTCCCTCTTTCTGCACAAGGAGTATAAAAAGTAGTATGTACTAGTCAATAATTTAACACATAAACAAATCAAGCACCTAAGTTGAATTGGCCCTACAATAGTATTATGCCCATATACAAGTAGCTTCCTTAGAAATATTTAAAATGCATATGTTTAATCAAATTCAAATCAAATTTAAACAATCAAAACACTTGTACATGACTGCATGAATTTAACTTCATCACTGCTTAAAGTTCATGATTAAGTTCAAAATGTGGTCATAATAACTTGACTTTTCACTTGTATATGATTAAGTTAATATACGGAGTATTTTGTATAAACTGATTGAAACCCCAATCAAAAATCTTTCCAAAAAGAAAAAACCACCACAATTAATTGTATCATCAACTAATTGCAATTATATATATACCCACTCCTTAACAAATGCATAATCACCGCAAGCAGCAACCAGAAGTTAGATAATTTTTAGTAATTCAATCAATCATAAAGCCAACCCAGAAACATAACCAACAAAAAAATAAAAACCCGACAGAATTAAGACAACCCAGAAGATATTTACATCTAAAAATCAGATCCAACATCAAATCAACCAGTTAAAAAGATTAAATTCACTTGGGAGATAAAAGGGGCAATGGTAACTTACAAACGAAATTTAGAAAACAATGACAACTTTGTCGGCATCAAAACCAACTAGCCAATCATAAAAGCAAAGGAAGCAGTGTGAGTAGAGAGCAAAGCAACTAGTTAATTACAAAACAGATACTGTATACTCTTAATTAACTCTCACCTGAGTAGAAAGAAAGGAGGTGAGTAACCGATTGATGGATATGATGATTTTAAGGTGATGAGTGTGTTGTAAAATGAGATCAGCAACTGAAAAGTGGAGTAACTGTTGATTCATAATGAAAAAGTTTTGGAGCCAAAAATAATTCACCATTTCGCGGGTTTGGAGAAGAAATTGGGGTTGAGGAGTTGACGAGTTTCGTTGTTGAGGATGATGGGTTTTATTTTTAACTTTATTTTTTTTGGGAAATAAATGTGGAGTATCATAATCTCTAATAATGAGAAGATACCGACTCTGGTTCTTCACTTGTTCTTTTTTTTTTTTTTTAAATTATTTTTAAAGTTTGGTTGAAATATGGTTCTTCACTTCTTTGTAGATTACTTGGGAATAAACTAGGGGATCTTACTTGGGTGGGATTAAAAAATATCTTAATGAAACAAAGTTGTAATGTGATATAACAAATAAATTAAAATGGCTAAAAGCTAGTTGCAACTTGCTAGTTTGTGGATGGTAATCTATTATTGGGATAAAAATAAATTTAAAATAAAAACCAAACTATTTTTCTTTTAGGAAAAAATACAAATAAAATAAAAATTGGATGTACAATAAATATTGTATATTTGTATTAATATTTCCCTAAGGTGATTATTAGTTAGTCTGCTATGAACAAATATTACCCCCCCCCCCAATATAAATAAAATGTTGTCTATGTTCTAATGATAAATTTACTCTCTATAAACCGATAAAAATTAAAGGTTTGTCAGTAAAAGTAACTATAATTTCCTTATAAAACTTATTCAATGGAAATTTACAATAAAATCTTATCGGCTTCAAAGTTACCCAAGAAATTAAAAGTTATCCAAAATTGCAAAAAAGTTACCTTACTGAACTATTTCAAGTTTCTCTAAAGCATGTTTAATTTTATCTAAGCTTACGTGAGCTTATTTTTTTGTAAAATAAGGGGAATAAAATTGAACATAATAAAGTCTTGTTTGTAATAATTTTTGACGAAGTTTTATACAAATGTAAAATTGAATCAAAATCAGCAAAACTGTAATCAAGAAGACCCAAAATCAACTGATATGAAATAGACCCACCCAAACCCGTGTTGAACCTAATACTCCAATTTGAAACCAATACGAAATTAATGGCTTTGCTCAAACTTGACATGGACCCGATAGTTATTGGCCCGACTAAAAAATGATCTGACGCAAATCGGGTGGTTTAAAAGGGTAACCTTGACCATTATGACAATCTATTATTAATTATACAAATGTGGAAGTCAAGTTATTATATAGAATAAAAAGAATCATATAGTGAGTTTTACCATTAAGTTTTATACACATGTGAAAGTCAAATTATTTATTATGTTAATAAGTTTTATAAAAATGTTAAAGTCTAGTTTGACAATCATAAACTTAACCCAACGCAACATCGACCTATACAGATATCTGATGAAATCCAAAATATTTTGAGCCGATTTGATGTTAGCCAATCTTGTTTTCGAACATAACAATGAATTGACACCACTAATCTAATCCAAACGGATCAGGTGGATTAAAATGGTAACTTTGACTCATTATGATCCAATCACTACATTGTCAACTCGTAATTGAATTGATACGATATAACCAGTTGATACTAATCATGTTCTTATATAATCGACACAGTGAAACTTGACACATATGCATTACTTTGACTTTAGATAAATATGATTTTATATTGGTAAAAAATATTAACAAGTTGAGATTATAAAACTTTATTATCACGGAGTAATACCTATTTAAGAATATATTTCATGATATAATTTTATTTTTATACGTTACTAAAAACGATGGTCAAAATTAGCATACAAATAGTGAAAAAAGTCAAAGATGTGATCTTTACTCAATAGATCTTGACTCGAAATTGAAAAGACCTGATCTAACCCAATATGAATGAGGTGGATCAAAACGGTAACCACAACAAAGGCTATGGTTCCATCCCGCCCTGAGAGGAATTTGACTCGTTATGACTCGATCCGTCAAGGGTAAGCCCGTAATTGATACAATATTTCAAGTTGACAACTCTACCTATAACTAATAGTCAATTACTCATTCATTATTACACACTTATTCATCTAACCATCACTAATCATACTTTATTTAAGAAAATACACTCCATAGTTAACATACAGAGTATAATTAATTTTGACACAACACAGATTATAATTGATAATAACATATAAAGTTTAAGCTCATGATTATCTCTTTCAATAAATCTAATCATGATTTAATATCCCCTCACAAAATACTTCATACTATATTATTATTAGTAATTTTTTTTGACATTATTATTATTATTAAAGATTGGCATGAAGGTAATGCTTAGTAGGAAATTTTTGTATTTAGCATCTCTTGATTTAATACTCAGTAAAATATAGCAGTGTTCTTGTATTAAAAGGAAAAAGAAAATTTCATTTAAAAAAAAAAGACAAAACAAAACAAACCCAATTAATTCGAGTAGGTGGCAGGCACACAAAATCAAACAAACCAACCCATAACAAACTACTTCCCACAAAATCAAATAATCAATCACTGTTCTAACTTTTCATTAAAAATACAAAAATAAAAAATATTGTTAACCATATTTCCCAAAAAATCGAACAAACCCCAATTAACTACGAAACCAAAAGATTGTCTCTGTGCTAAAATTCGATTTTGATTACTGTTTTCTGGTATCAAATTGCAATTTATTGAAGTATATTCTAAACAGTATAGATTGTTTGGTATCATCTTGCTTGGAGTAGATTAAAGATAGCAGCTTATAGATTGAGGAAGAAACAAAGACAAGTAAGTTTGGAAACTCGACTCAACTAGCTATTTTAAATTCATAGTATGTCGGGCTATAATGTGATGTATGGATAATATAATTCTTCATTCTATTATTCATTAGTTGCTTGTTGCAATTCTCTTTGGCTGTAACGGATGTAGAATAGAATCTGATGTTTAATGACTATATATATATATATGTATATATATATATATATATATATATATATATATATATATATATATATAATATATATATATATATATATATATATATATACATATATATATATGTATGTATGTATGTATATATATATGTATATATATATATATGGGATTGTTAGGTGCTTGTTACCATTCTCTTTGGCTGTATCTCTTTTAGGGTGTGACACAATTGTCGTATTGTGAGATTTGTGACCTTTAATTTATCTAATTTTTAAAGTTAATACTTTTTCTTTTTTCATCAGTAACCTTTGCTTTGTCCCCAATACTATATGAATTTTTGTTGTTATAAAAATTGTATATGCATTTTTATTGTAGAAAGCTTGTCTTCTTATTTTGTTTTAGCTAGTCCAAGAATTCATGTCAATATTTGTCTCTTAGTTTATTACCTTTGTTGTTGATCCTCCATATAACGTCTTATGCTATAGAGTATTACAATGGCAAACATCAACAAAGGTTGGATTGATGCACCCCACAGTGCCGAAGAATATATCAAAGAATTTTTATGTGCTTTCATACACAGTGCGACTCTATCTACTTAAATGCTTTAACGGGTGGAGCAATTCTTCTTTTGATGGGTTGATGAAGCTTCAATGTGCTGCCTTTCCATTTTCAAAGCTTCCCACTTCTTTTCATCATGCTAAAAAAATGGTGAAGAACCTTGGACTTAATTACAAACGAATTGATGTGTGTCCTAATGATTGTATGTTGTATTGGAAAGAACGTGCAAATGACAAGTTTTGCCATGTTTGTAAAGCTTCTAGGTGGAAGTTAAATGAGAAGCAAAAAGAAGAAGGTTCATTGCCTGACGAAGGAGTTCCTACAAAAGTTCTGCGTTACTTTCCTCTTAAACCTCGTCTACAAAGGTTGTTCATGTGCTCTAAGACGGCTAAACTCATGACATGGCATGAAACTGATCGCAAGAAAGATGAAAAACTAAGGCATCCTGCTGATGGACAAGCTTGGAAAGATTTCGATGTTGCACATCCTCAATTTGCAAGTGATTTTCGAAATGTGAGGCTGGGTCTTACTACTGATGGTTTTAACCCATTCAGAACTATGAGTATGTCATATAGTATTTGGCCTGTTGTTTTATCCATTTATAATTTGCCTTCTTGGTTATATAATAAGTCCGAGTACAATATCATTTCTTTGATTGTACCTGGTCCTTCTTCTCCAGGTTATGACATTGATGTTTACTTGCAACCATTAATCGAGGAATTGAAGGAGTTATGGAAAGTTGGAGTTGACACATATGATGCTGTGAAAGATGAAATATTTTCTTTAAAGGCAGCCTTGTTATGGACAATCAGTGACTTCCTTGCTTATGTAATGTTGTCCGGATGGAGCACCAAAGGAGAATTTGCCTGCCCAAATTGCAATCATAAGACTTGGTCTAAATACCTGAAGTATAGCAAGAAAATGTGTTACATGGGACATCGTAGCTCTTTGAAAGAAAATCATCCATGGCGTCGTAATAAGAGAGCTTTTGATGGTAATGTAGAGACAAGGCCTCCTCCTCCTGCCAGATTCTCAGGTTCTGAGGTTTTAAAAGATTTAGAAGAGTTTGAAAATAAGTTTGGGAAAACTCAAAAAAAGGGCAGAAAGAAATTTCCTTGGAAGAAGAAATCAATTTTCTTTGAGCTTCCTTATTAGGAAACTAATACCTTGCGTCATAATCTTGATGTTATGCACATTGAGAAAAATATTTGTGACAGTGTGCTCGGTACTTTGTTTGATATCCCGGGAAAGACTAAGGACCATGTGGCAGCACGCTTTGATTTACAAGAAATGGGTATAAGAAATGAACTCCATCCAAAGAGAACAAATAATAGAGGGAAGCATTTATACTCTAAAGCCTGTTTTTCTTTATCTTCAAGTGAAAAAGACCTCTTCTACGGTGTGATAAAAGGTGCTAAGTTTCCCGATGGTTGTGCATCAAACATCTCCAGATGTGTCCAATCCAATGAGAGGAAAGTTGATGGTTACAAGAGCCATGATGTGCACTTTATGCTTCATTATTTGCTCCAAGTTGCTGTAAAGAATACCTTGCCTAAGTAAGTAGTATCGACTTTGATTAGGCTAGGATCCTTTTTCAGGGGTCTATGTAGGAAAGTTCTAAAGCCTAAAGATCTTGACGATCTTGAATCTGAAATCATAGAGATACTTTGCCAACTTGAGAAGATATTCCCCCCCAGTTTCTTTGACATAATGGTCCACCTTCCACTTCATCTTGTAGAGGAGGTAAGGCTTATGGGCCCTGTTCAAAGTCGTTGGATGAATCCGAAAGAGCGGTATTTGGGTAAATTGAAGTCATATGTAAAAAATAGAAGTCGACCCGAAGGTTCCATTGCAGAGGCCTACTTGGCAGAAGAATGCCTTATTTTTTGTTCGAGGTACCCCCTTCGAATGAAGGAATCTTCATTCCGATTTGGGATATGAATATAGCAAAGCTCCTCGTTGTAGAAATTCATACGAAAGATACCAAGCGCCACTGAGGATACAGTGATCCAATCCACAATGTCCACCTTGAAGAGCTGAGTTAAGTCAGCCCGAGGAATGGTATGAATCGGCTTTTATTCTTATTCCTTCATTCCTTCTTTTGGTTTATCTACATTCCAGGAAATTCATACTCAAACAAGCAATCCAACTAACAGGTTTTGACCAAAGGCAAGAGTGATGAGTCACCCTCTCAGGAGAGCCTGCCTGCTTGACTGCCCTTTGTGTATTCATTCGTCCCGAAAACGAAAAAGAATATTGGCATGTGTTAAGCATTTCGTTTAGAGAAAGAGGGGTGCCTTCTAGCCCTTTGCCCGTTGAATGAACCTTTTCGTGGTGAATGAATAGTCGTGCTATCCAGGAATGCCGAGTACGCTTTCGCGATAGGTATTGGTGGAGCTTGCGGGTTCTGAAAGAAAAGAGATTTGAACAACAGTCTGAAAAGACTAATGCTGCGCAAAAGAATATGTTTCAAAAGAAGAATAAGCACAAAGTGAGTTCACAATGAATTTAGTTCAAAGTTGAATCGAGCACCTAGAAATGATGATGATGATACTGCATCCAATGAAGATGGAAGCCTTTTTCCTAATGTTGGACGTCCTTTAGGTGTAAAAAAGAAAAACAAAGGCAAAAAGATTTCTTTAGATGAAGACACTTTGATGAAAGCTCATCGCTATGTACTCTTTAATTGTGATGAAATAAGTGATTACATAAGGTGAGTAAGTAAATTTAAATTGGTATTATTTCATATTAATTATATTTAATCTTTGTTATTTATAATTGACTAAAACAACTAAGTTGCTTTGTGATATGTATGTAGTGAACATCAAGATTTAGTGAATCGTCAAAGAAGTCAAGGTAGACGGGGTAAGCGGAGTAGGTGGGCGAGAGCACAAGAACACAGTCATGATATTGGAGCATGGTTCAAGGACGGTGTATGGGAAGAAAATGTTTCCAAAGAAATCAAGGCTTTATCCCAAGGTCCTGACTATACTGTGAGAAGTTTTAAAGGGTACCTAATAAATGGTAACAAATTTCATACAACTGCACATGAGTCAAAAAGGAAAACTCAATGTAGTGGAGTTACTGTAACATCTTCAATGTCGAGTTTTACAAGTTCCAGGGATCAAATTCCTGTTGTTGGGGACGTCAAATATTATGGAGTGGTGGAGGATATCATTGAGTTAGATTATTTTGGACATTTCAAAGTGGTATTGTTTCGCTGTAAATGGTTTCAAGTGGAGCAAGATGAGTTTGGGCTAACATGTGCAAATTTTAAAAGGTTATGCTATACTAATGACCCTTTTGTGATGGCTAATCAAGTAAACCAAGCTTTTTATGTGCAAGATTCCAAAGAAAAGCATTTGCATTACGTTATGGAAACTATCCCCGGAGACTTGTTTGATATGAATGAAGAATCAAATGGTGATGTTGGAGTTTCTTATTGGAATGAATCTGCTAGTGATGATGTTCGCCCAGGGGAAACTATTTCTGATGACTATGATGTTAGTTGGTTGAGAGAGGATTTGCCTGCCACTACTGTTGATGTTCCTGAATACATGTTGCAAGCAGAGCCGGAAATTGATGAATCGGATGATGAAATCGAGGACAATACTCTATGGGATTTCATGCAAGCAAGTGAAGATGAAGCTTAGGAAATATGATTGGTCCCTTCTAGGTATTCTGTTTTTAGTAACTTTGAAGTAATAAAAGCTTAGGGATTTTAGCTTAAACAGTTTTGGTTTTGTTTTACTGCAAAATTATTTGTTTTAATGATAAAAAGTTTGGTTTTTGTTTTTTTTTTTTTTGTTTTGGGAATATTTGATAATCTTATGAAGCTTAATTTGTTTGTTTCGGAATAGAATCAGTTAACTGCCCAAATCAAATAAATATGAAGTTTCAGTAGTCATATCTCATCTTGGCCTTGGTTGTCTGGCTCAAAGCTTCCTGCTTTCTTGACTGCATGAATTGTACTTTATTGATTTCCCCCCTTTTATGTCTCACAGGCTTGCAATCGTTACGGGGTTTTAGAAACTGCTTTTGGTGCTGGTATGACCTCTTAAACTAGCTTCTGTATTTTAGAATTATAACATTTGAGAATTAGATTTAGGCGATTCCTACTTATATGATGAGACTCTTCTTGGTTTCGAGAAGAATAATTGATGAAATTCATACCATGATTTGCCGGTTTTGGTGGGGGTCCAACAGTGACACTAGGAAGCTCCATTGGCAGAGTTGGGATAAGATGTGTATGCCTAAATCAAAGGGCAGCCTTGGTTTTCGGGACCTACATTGCTTCAATATGGCTTTGCTTGCAAAACAAATTTGGCTCCTCCATATTAAAACTGATTCACTTGCTTCCCGTGTTATGAAGGCCCGTTATTTTAAGAACTCTGATATTATTGACGCTCTCCGTGGTTATGACCCGAGTTATGTATGGCGTAGCATTTGGGGAGGGGAAGTGGGACGCTGATAGAGTTCGTACTATTATGGGAGAGGATCTTGCTGCTGTGATCTTGTCCATCCCGCTGTCACATTGCCCATCGAATGATAGACTATTTTGGAGATGTTCAAAGGATGGGAATTTTTCTGTACGGTCTTGTTATTGGCTTGTCCGTAGGGGATGTGTTGAGGGGGTTGTGAATGTGATCTCAGAGGAGTGCTGGAGGAGTGTGTGGAGGTTGCAGTGCCCACCAAAATTAAAGCATTTTCTATGGTGTGCAATCAGGGGTAATATGGCTATAATAGAACGATTATTATACCGCCACATTACCTCTAATTCTGTATGTCAGATTTGTCAACACCCTGTGGAAACAATTCTCCATTCTCTCTTTGAGTGCACTGCTGCCAGGAGGATATGGGCTCGTAGTGATCTGTAGGATGAGGAGAAAGCTACCCCTATATCGTCGTTTGCAGATAGATGGTTATGGTTGGTAAACAAGCTGTCTGCAGAGAACAACAGAAAGGCTGCTGCCCTTATGTGGGCGTGTTGGAGATGCAGAAATTTACAGCTGTTTGAAGACGTTTGGCCTGATCCAGTGTTGTTGGCAGCGGGTTTCTGTCGCTTAGCTGATGATTACACCAGGCATATGCAGAATGTTAGACCTCTTGGTGGATGCAACATACGAAGCAGCTGCTTACGCTGGTATCCCCCTCACTTTGGCATGGTGAAGATCAATACAGATGCCCATGTTTTAAGTGGCAATATGGCGGGTCTGGGGGTGGTGTGCAGAAATTATTGTGGCAAGATTTTAATGATAGCTACTAAAAAAATCCACTACACTGATCCGAAATGTGCTGAATTTCAAGCAATCAGATATGCTCTTTCGATTGCTAGGAGGTTCAACTACGACAATGTGTGGGTGGAGTCGGATGCATTGGGCGTAATCAACACTATATCCCACGAAAGCAGGGGCTTTTCCCCGATTTTCAGTGTTTATGATGATATTCGAAGAGATAGATCCCTTTTTCTTTCTTGCAAATTTTCATATGTAAAAAGAAATGGAAATACTATGGCACACCTAGTAGCTAGAGAGGATACGGCGGGAGATGAGGAACTTATTAGAGTCACGAATTTTCCGTCTAGTATTGTAACATTGGCTATGTTAGACATTTCTAATTAATGAATGCCCTATTTTTTCTCAAATACATATATATATATATATATATATATATATATATATATATATATATATATATATATATATATATATATATACAAATTGTTTTATAAACTTGGTTTTTTTAAGAAGCATTTCCATGTTCTTACCAAAAAGAATTGTAAGTGTCAAGTCGTTTGAGAAAATTTTATTTTGGATGAAATCATGTTGCTAACTAAAATTAGATACTTATATGTACTAGAATTCTCACAGATAAATGGTATCCCAATTATACACAAAAGTTATCAGATCGTGGGGATTTTGTGAGTTGATTGATATTTTTACTGCTGCCATGTTAGCTTTTGGAATTAGATTTAGGGCTGAAATAATGATATATTTATTTTTTTGTATAAAAGTTGTTTATAAACATGGTTTCTTTAAAAAGCATTTCCATTGTTTATAAAATATGCTTTAAGTTTTCAGGATGCCTTGATTTTAATCTCACACTGCACATTGTACAAATCAGCAGAAGAGGAGGCCTGATATGGGGGTGGCGTCTGCTAAGTTCTAGTCTTGTAACAACCGAGTTTTCGTCCCAATCAGCAGGCAACCAGCCACAAGCAGCAGCTAGCTGCCACCAACAGGCAGTCGCCAGTAGCAGCAGGCAGTCGGAACAACTTGTAGATATTGCTGCTACACGTTGCTACTGTGTTTTTTTTTTTTTTTTTTTTTACAAAGACTACTAGCCTTTTGTAATTTTTTTTTTATTTATACTGTATAATTAACATCAATTCTACTCGTATGAAAATAGTAACTTTTACATATATGTTATATTTTCTACATTGATTTAGCTTAAAAATGTTGTTGTAAAATGTGAAATCTACCAACCACATATGCACTGGCGTGGTTGAATTTGTGTGCCTTAAAGGCCAAAATTACCGATGCTAAGTCATTTTTTCTAGTCATCAATTATCGTTGCCATACACACCTTTACGTTAACGTTTTCAAATTGTTGAATTGATAATAATTTTGTTCTTATTGACCATAATCTGTTTATTATTATTTTTAAACCAATGTTCTAAATAATAACCTATCTTATGTAAGGTAATGAAAACACATGAAACAATCGTTGTCTTAGATACCTTGAAAAAAACATTTTTAAAATTATTATATAAGCAGCAATTTTATTGTTGTTACCTTTTTGGGCAACATTTTAAATAATTGTTGTCTTATGTAAAAAAAAATGTCTACATTTTACATATTGTTGTCTTACATAATCTAAAGCAACACTTTTTAAACCGTTGCATTGTCATATAGTACAGATTGTACAAGATCAAGGTAACAAACAAGTATTGTTGCCTTTTACTACAAAAGGCAACATTTGTCATTTTGTTGCAATTTTGTTCGTTGCCTATTCTCATTTTTTTTGTAGTGATATTTCATGTTTATAAAAACTACCTAGTATTTTGAATACATGATATCCAACCGTCCTTTCGGACTTAGTTATAAAAGTCATTTATGAGAGTTGTATTTAAGAAATGTTTTTCCTTTCTTTGAGAACCATCCTCAAGGATTTCATTTACCAATCATTGAAAACAATATAATTTGATTTAGAATTCTACAAATATAAGTGCAAAGTATAACCATTTATCAAGATAATAACATAATAAGTTTGAATTTTAAAGCATACATGCAAACTTTCAATCTTATTAAGCGTCCACACATTAAAATTTGTCCTTTTCAGGCGAGAATAAAACGATTCCAAGATCCCAAAAATCAGAAAGTGATTAAGTATGCTTTGGCTTGTCTTAACACTTAATATTTTAAGGTAAGCAATCCAACTGCTAATAGCTCTAAGCTACTCTTGGTTCGATAAAACGTCGCATCTAATGCTTTCTTGACGTTTTATCTCCATTGCCACGACATCTAAGGACTCCTTACTGATATCGTGAGCTTAACTAAAATCAACTTGTATACCTACACTAGTAGAAAAACAGAATTGAGCACCGCAAAATGCGCACCGGTTTTTAAAAACTGGTGCCAAAAAGCGTAGGCGAGATTAAGGGAAAGGGGAATTCACACCGGTTCAAACCAAACCGGTGCGAAATGATGTTAATCGCACCGGTTCGATTTGAACTGGTGCGAATGCTATTGCTAAAAAAAAAAACGGCCTTTAATTATCTTCTTTCTTTTTCTTTCCTCGATCTCTCCTCCTCTCTCATTTGCCTCTCTCTCATCTCGCTCTCTCTCCTCTCGAACTCTCTGTCTTCTCTCTCTTCTCGCTCTCTCTCCCACCACTAACCGCCACCACCGCAGTTATCTAATGGTGACGCTGCTCCTCACAAGGTTTATCCCTCCTTTTTTTTGTTAATTTTGTATAATTTGGGTTAGGGTTTCGATTTCGTTGAGTTTTTGGGTTTTGATTTTGGATTTTGTGATTTGGTTGTTGTGTTTGAGTTTGAATTTGTATGTGATGTTTGATTTTGAGTTTGATTTTGTCCCTCTTGTTCGATGATTATTGTAATTTTTTTATTCCCAGAAACCCTTTTTTTATTTTTCTTGTAATTTTGATATCTAGGTGTTTTCACTTAGTTTAGATTATGGGTTTAATTGGGTTTTAGTAGCCTTTGGAGACTTGATAGTAAGTTTTGGGGTTTGAAATCAGATTCCAGAACTCACTTTTATTGCGATTGATCTAGGGTTCTGTTAATTTGTTTCAATAATTGCGATTGATCTAGGATTTTGTTAATTTGAGCTTTTGTAATTGTGAATATACGGAAAACGGAATGAATTATGGGTATACGGAGTATTTGAATTGTGTTGCATGTGTTTACATTGGTCACCTACTAATTGCAATGTTTTCCTTGTGTGTGTGTGATGATCAGGATCTGATTTCTGCAATCTAGTTGGGCTTGTTGGTTTACAGAGGACAGAATTTCTGCAATCTGGTTCTGCAATCTGATTTTTGCAATGTGATTAATCGCTTGATTTTGGTTCTAGAGTGTTAACAATGATGCATCTGCTATCTTTTTTCTTTTTCTGCTTTTGCTTTGTTGCTCATATTGATGTTGGACTTGTTTGTTTGGCCTGAGAAATGTGACTCATGTGAGTCTTTTTTTTTTTGAACTATAGTTTTCTTGATCTTGTCTTGATAAAGGATCAGTTAACCTACTGTCACATAACTACATTACGTGATGCTGTGAATTACATGTGTGAAATCACAAGCACATGAACTTGAATTTCCTTTACCTTCAAACACAATTTTTTTTTTAGTCCAATTGGCATACATGATAGGGCTTAGTGATGATCGATTAGTTTTCGAGTCTTCATCTGTTTATATAAGCTTAATAATTGAGGAGTCCTCTAAGACTATGGTGGCATATATGATATGTGTCTTTGGAAAAAGAACAAGGAAATTATGACAGAGCTAGCAGCCAAAGTGGCTTGAATTTGATGAAGTGGTGGTCGTGGCCAAGAATTTCTGCTAAATAGCTAGCTAATTTCCCTTTTATGATACAATATCTTCTTTTTCTTTTTCTTTAAAAGTCACCTATATTCATAAACTGTATAGTCTATGCTGAAGGAGTGCTTTCTGATGTAAATAATTAAATACATTAAATGTGTTGCTTGAATACTCCTTTGCTTCTATTTCTGTTTTTGTTGTGGTAAGTATTTGATGAGGTCAATGCTAAGTGTCAAGAACTTGGTGTTGATAGAATCCTAATTTTTTGTCTACGAGGTGAAGAAGGCAGAGAATTAATTCTCCATTAGCTTGAAGCTCTCTTTCCTCCATTATATTGAAGCAGCTTATGCTGATACTTTTTTCAAAACCATCGAATATCAATTTCTATTTTGGGTTTATCGTTAAGTTAATTGTGAGGAAAGTCAACTTTTGGTTGTTCTATGCTAGATTATTGAACTATGGCTACAATTAGTGAAGCTATTAGAAATTTTAAAGGTCAATTTTGATGTTGTAATTTTGATATGTATAATTTACTTTGATATTTTGAGGCGACAAGAATTTAGTGTGGTGTTTAGGTCGCCTTAGATTATTTTGTGGTTTTTGGGGCTCCTTTGATGATTTTGTACTTTTTGTTTGATATTTGGTGTGTTATGATTTTAGGGTTTAATTGAGGTTCTTACTTTGTTTTGGGATGTAGGTTGGATTGCATCAATTTAAGGTGAGTAATGGGGATTAAATCTATGTGGAGAAGCTCAAGTACTGTGACTGTCTGGGTAATGACAAGGTAATTCGTTTTTCTGCTTGATTTTATGTTCAGTGATTGATAATTGTAATAGTGATAGATTATACATTGGTGATGCATATGGTTTCCTGGTGGTTGATGTGACGTGTTATGATGCACATCATTACCATATTGGTCTAGTCTGATAATCTTTCTCTGTTAATAACTTCAGCAGATTGGGTTGTATATACTTGTATATTTCATTCTTCTTTTATTTCATTATCCACTTGAATAATGTTTGAGCTAAGTTTTGTTTGGACTATTCCTCTCACAATCTTCTTATACTTTGTTTTGCACTATGATAAGAAAGGCATGTATTTCCATTATTTGGTTTGCAAAATTTTCTCTAAAAAAGACAATGATGTCAATGTGCTCTACAAAGCTTCAAAATGAAAGCTCCAATAACAAGATTGAGGATTTCTTTCTGATTAACCTTTATTTGATAGAAGCTCACAGCTTGTCCATTATTAAAATTAGAATCATCTATGAAATTACCATAATAACAGCCACATTTCACGTCTTCTATGAGCTACTTGGTATTTTCTTATCTTTATCTGCTGATGTGCTTATATGATTTGTATGATCACTAAATGTGCACTTCAATTTGGACCAGAAATAGGAGAAAACCATGTATATAACCAATCTAGGTCTCATATTTGCACCCAAACTTGTCTTGATTTTCTTCTACAAGTCTAAGCAATATTGTCTAGCTACATTCCCTTGGTCTTTTGTCCAAGTATAACAGTCGCGTACTCTACTGTTTTTATAATATTTAGAAAA